CAGCAGTCCTAAGACTTATATATGCTTTATATATATATATATATATATATATATATATATATATATATATATGCTTTATCACGAGGGATTTGGAATCTGGATTTGCCAAATCTCCTAAACGGACGACTTTTCGGGTCATGCATCAATACGGTGAAAAATATTCACTACGAGGATGCCATCAATAGAATAGAACAGGGGGTTTATGAATGCTGACCGTCAGAAGAAAAAAACATTTCAAAGGAGAGTTCAAGATGAAGAATCAGTCAAATCGCGTATTGAATTTACTTTGTTCCAGTCATCCTGCAGTTTTCGACATTGAATCCAAAACCTAATCCACGAAAACCCTCTCCCCTGTTCAACTGTAATCCACAAGAGGAGGTTATCTGCGAACCGGTAGAACTAAAATGTTAAAACAAATCACCGAATTCGTAAGAACTTCCATCTCCCTTCACTGACAAAAGCTCAGTCAATCATGATTATTCAGAAAAAGGTGTATTCACTATTCTTATTGAACTTGACAGCTTTCCATCCCAAATCCAAATAATATACTCTTGGTTACATCGAAACGGACTAGCTTATCTCAGAACGTCAGTACTCTGTTCCCAATATGTGTAACACACCACTGAGGTTTTGTGTTTGATAACCAAACATCATTCCTTTTCACAATCACTTTTATTGTGTCTACTGATCCATATCAGAACTGCCGGTACTAACCAGTTTTTGACTTCACCTCATGCAAGATGCGTCTCGCGCTTTTTTATCTGCAATCCACGTTCGACTCCAACAAAGCTCTTCTATGTGAAATGATTCGGTCGGATTAGTTTATTTCTATCGCTGTACTCGTTGAAGTGAGTTACGCGGCAATAAGAAAATCCGTGGAACCACCACTATGCAGAGCTGTTTCATTCATAACAGAAGTCATCAGAAGTGTGCAAATCCCAGGGTTCGCGTCCCGGCACGATGGATTGTTGTGTTTGTACTTGCTGCTCCACTTGTTGCACACTATTCGGGCTGTCCGGGGGATGTCCTGAGTAATTGTAAATCAATCAACGCTATCTGATGTAGCGCTCACGCGCAACTGTGGTTCAAAGTACCGCTTCTTACCACCCAGTCAGTTGTGGAATTCCTGATGTACAACTTAGAAACAGGTTCCTTGAATGTGTGAGCAAGGGGCTTTCATCCATTCTGCCTGAGCTTATCTCTCGTACGGAACGGTCCATCGCTGAAACGTGGATTGGGAATGAGTTGTGTGTGTATGTGTGTGTGGGGAGATTCGCATTACTGTTTGCTGGAAATATAGGGTACGCAATACATGTTGTGCCCGATTCCCCGTCTGTAATAGTCGAAGTAGGCACAGATCACGAATTATGAGTTACGAATCACGGACGCAACTGAAACACTGGCACTAGCACTTGCACGCTGGTATCGCCCGTCACTGAGACCCAAGAAAAAGGTCACAGAAGTAGCAGTTTCGCTTATTGAAAGAAAGAAATCGCATTAAGTAACATATACAATGGAGGTTTATTGGTTATCCACGCATCCGCCTACATGTATTCTTGACGTTATACAGCTTCTGTTCGGGCCACACGACTTTTGATTGATTGGCATGATTAGCCTGTGGTTCGTTGTCCAGAAACTGTAACGCGTCTCTCCGTGGCTGGCGTTATCCCGTGGGCTAGAATCGTCACACCGTGCCTTCATACTTTCTAAGCATCACGGAAAGCGAACAACCGCCAACGGACTTCGATGACCGAGTGTCATCATACCCTAACTGTGGGATCGTTTTTCAAGACCAAGTATTTAAACTG